ACAGTCTCCCTTCAGCCAGAGAGGCCAAAAACTGACGAAGAAGCAGCTAGTAGTTACTGCAAGGCACAGACAGCCTGTAAGCTAGAGAAAGACAGCATCAAAGCAAGTTAGCTGCTCACTTTCCTGCCACTGTCCCTGGGTAAAAGACATCAAGCCCCAAAAAGGCAGGCTCTCCTGGCCAACAAGTGTTCCCCTCCCTGCCATGCCCTATGCTCCTACCCCATGGCCAGACCTGACATCTCCAAGTTGCAGGACCCCTTTCCCAGCTTCTCTTGCAGCAGACCAGCACTTAAAGAGTCTACTGCAAGCAATAACCAGAATTCCCAGGAGAAAGCACTGCATACCTTGCCTCCACACATGGGACTTACACCCACTGCCCCATCTCCGGAGGGCTAGTAAACCCCTCCTCTCCTGCTGGCCCTTCCTGGCCCTGCTGAAGCCTGTACACTGTGCCTCATTGAAAGTAGCAATCTGCTTTAAAGCAGGCATCTTGGGCAAAGCCTGTACTAAGAAAAGACATGACTGTAGGAAAGAAAAACCCCATCAAATAAATTGTATGGTCTCTGATCATCAATCGGCAAATCAGGCAAGAGCCCAGGTCCACTTTCCTACAGCCAAGGGACACAAAACGGATGCCAACAGTCCTGCAAGGAGGTATGGGGTGCTTCGAGATTTGTCAAGGTAGCCACAGGCTCTGCTGGCTTCACTACTGATCTTGATGATGACCCCATGGCACACCTTCGGTAAAACTTAGCTCCTGACAGCTGTGAGATTTAGCCATCAAGGCAGGAAAAAGACCCTACCCCCACACTGGCTGTACATCCAGGCCCATGGAGGAAGAAAGCTGCTAAGTCCAAATACTCTGTTGCCACTCAGGGCTGCACAGCGTGAATGGCACTTTAAACACAGCTTGGAAAACCCTTGGCTCACTTCCCTGCTCCAGCTCTGCCTGGCTCCTGCTCCCTTCCACCCAGCTCTGCCACTCCAAAACAGGCACAGCCTGTTGGCATCCCCTGCCCATGACCCTCCAGATCTCCACATCAGGAAAATGATTTCCAGGCCATCAGCATCCTGATTGCATCAGTACAAAAAACATCAAAACCTTTCCAAATATAGTCAGAGGCACAAGCCCTCCATGGATCCGATCAAGTAAAATACACATCAGGCCACCCTGTTTTCTGTAAAGGACATTAAAAAGTAAGAATAATTATCAGTCTGCAACTGATTTTTCCAAGTATCCTATCTCTTCAATGAAGCATCCAATCTCCTCCCACAATGTCCCCAGCAACTTTCCAAAATAAACAGATAAACAGAGAAAACAAAACATCCAGAACATAAAATTTCAACCACATTGGATGAATTTGGGGGCAGCTTGCAGAGAATGAGCTTGGAAGTGTGTTAGGGAGATTACAGTCTTGCTTTTCACTCACAGAGACCAAGTGTTAAATTGTCCCTTTCCCCCATGACTCAAGATCTCAGCAATGAATACGTCAGAAAATAAGAAGTAAGGGAGAAATATACTACATTTCTCTGGGTTTGTGGTTTTTTTGTTGTTGGTTGTTTGTTAGTTTGTTTAAACATCTCCCTTCCTACTTGCTGCTGTCTCCAGACCATTTCTCTATCCCTACCACCTGCCTTTGGTCTCTTCTTTATCAAGCAGCATCAGGCTCTTCCCTATGATTCCTCCTCGGTTGTGAATGCCTTCCTCTCTGCCCGTGGATCTCCCTTGCTGATTTAAGCACAGTGCAGTCTGCCTGGTCTCCACGAGCCGGCTTTGAGGCTGCCTTGCCAACAGACTCCCTGTGCGATCCCAGGGCAGCCCTTTATCTCCCTGTGCTCCGTGTCTCCCTATGTAAAATGGGAAGAGCATCTCCTGAGTGCTGGGAGAATAAAACACTGCTAATAAGCCTGAGGCTCCTGAGTAGCCTGGGAAGGAAGTATCTGCCCAGAAGTGCCCCAAAGGGACCAGAAGGGAGGAATTAACAGGCTTGTTGCTTTCTTCTATGCCTGTGTTCGTTCCTACCTCTGTGACTATTTTTGCATTGGGTTTGTAGCTGTGTGTGGGTCCTCTGTGCAGCAGGATTCTCTCCTAGGCTCTGCAGGAACAGAAAGCTTCAAGGGAACAGAGACAAATCCCCAGCCCCAGCTCCCTGCGACCCTCTAGGGATGAAGAGCTGGGAGGCATCCATGGGAATGTGTTGACCTGTGATTCGGACATGATACTAGACAGAAGCTGGGCAGGTTAGTCTGGGCAAAGGCTCACCCTGGCATGCTTCATCCACAAGCTTTGTGACTGGCCCTGGCTGGGGCTGGGGAAGGGTGGTAGCACCTCCCAGCAGAGTCACCGTCCATAGGCACAGCTCTGGCACGGCTGACTCTAGAGGGAGCTGAATGCTAGCGCCGAGCAGACGCCCAGCTTTTAGACCCCCAGATCTCAGGAAAGGGAATCTAAGCCCAGGTGTGTGCCGGGCCTTTGTTACCTACCTCAAACACAAGGTTAACCACCTCTCCCTTCTCCTCAGATTCCCCCTCCTTCTCTGTCTCCCCAGGAGCTCTTTGCAGCACCAAATCTCACTTCTATTTGTAGCCAGGTTTCCTTAGGAAGCCGGGCATATGAAATCACAGTTTCCACGTCTGTCTGTCTGTTCACATCGCTCCCCCCTCTTTCCAATTTCAGCTAAAATCACCAGAGGGACAGAGATAGCAGAAAAAGCCAAGTTCCTACATGCTTCCTGAAAATAGCTGGAGAGATACCACTTATGTCCTCTGCAAGGGAAAGACTGGTCAGTGGGCTCAGCCCATACTGGATGCCAAGAGTCTCAACAGCACAGCACCCTGAGCACCCTGCAGCAGACCCAGGTGGAGCAGAGATTTGCACAGCTGTGGGCACCAGTGTCCGTGAGCTGGGAGCACATGCAGATTACAGCACGTAGAGTTGAACAGGGCTCCAGGTTCTTCCCTGTACCAGTCACAAGGAGAGCCATAGACATGTGTTGTCTATGACCAACCTGTTGGTTGGCTGTCCAGTGATGCTTGTGTCTTGGGGGTCACTGGGCTTTATTCCAGGTTCTAAGTTTCTTTGGGATGCTGGAGAACAACAGGTTTATCCTGGTAAGCCATGAGAGTATCCCCTCAAAACCACAGCAGAAAACCAAATTCTGTCCTAGATGCAATGTCAGAAAATTGCAACTCTGAAAGCAGTGAGCAGATCTGGACACTACAAAAGGCAGAGAAGCGGTTGTGCCTATATAACACCATTTAAGGTGATGTAGAGACTCCCAGGAGCAAGGACATAAGCCAAAGTTTGTGCCATGTCATGTACAGCAGTACCAGGAGAGAAAACCTGGTACTTAAACAGGTGAAGCCTGTTTAAGTCTCGGGAGCAATTCACAGCCAATAGATCACAAAAGCCTTAGTGAAAGTGGGGGGAGAGAGAAGAAAGCAAAGTTTCATCACCTTAAAACTGTGCTACTTGGTGTTGGCATTCAGAGATGCTCGACATAAAGAGTATGTCCAACCTCCTCAGGTATCTTGAATGAAAACCCTGGTACAGAGGAAGCTTTGGCCAACGTGGCTTCCCAACACTGACTTAGGAGTTGTTTATGTCTCCAGAAAAACAGAGCTGGTGGGGTGTAAGAGGAGTCAGAAAATGCATCAGCTTTCCTGGGGAGTTGGTGGGGGGGGTTCATGGCTTGGCTGGCAGGTTATGGCTCTAGAAATGCTAGATTATTTCCCTATTTGGACTAAATGTCTGTGTTGAACAAGGGGCAAAGCTGCTATTGAAGAATCATTTGGAAGGAAAGGGGAGAAAGAAACATTTCATAGGTGCTCCCAAGGGACTACAAATGCCTTTCTTTGGTGATATCTACTTCCCCAGCCAAAGCCATATAGAACAGCTCTTTTTTTCCTGGATGCCACCATCACATCAACATGCAAGCGTCCCAGCTTCCCTTTTCTAAATAAAAGTGCATCTCTCCTTTTTGTGGTAGTCACAAAAAGCACATGAATACCTAGGCAAGTGTCAGGAGAGCACTCAAAGAATCCCAGCCTCTCTCAGCCTTCATTTCCATTACCTGACTCACAAATTTCCAACATCTGGGACTGGAGGAACATCTTCCTGTAAAGCGCAAGCAAAGAGGTCCCCTTCAATCACACACTTGCACCCACATGCCTGTGACCTTGTGGTTTTACTACAGCTTTCATTTTCAGACTCCAATTCTCCCTAGTGCTTGCTGCATTTCTGTAACATTTTGGCAGTTTGCTTTCGCCTTGGAGACAGAGCAGAGTGCGGAGTTGTTTTGCATGGCTCGGTGGGGAGGGAAGCAACAAGGCTGCGAATAAAGAATTAAACTCAAGATGACGGAAGAGCCCCAGCCATGCTTCCACCTAGACAAAGCCTACGTGATGAGCGCTGCTTAATACTAGCCCTTAATAACACATGATGCTCGAGATGAAAATGGAAATTTCAGCGTGGCTGCAGGTGCCTCCGACCACTCACCTCAGGAATCGCCTCAAGGCAGGAAAAGCAGCCCTGCCTGGAGACACGCACAGCCCCGGCCAGGCGGAGGCACCGCACCCCGCCGCGCACGGGGGGATGCGCCCGTAAGCCCCCCGGGGAAGGGGATTTGCTCCGGCCCCCTGCCCGACCCCACCTGCCCAACAACGCCCGGCTCTCGGGGTAGGGGGGAGGCAACACCGCGCCGCAGCCGCGCCTCCCGTCGCGACATGTCGCGATTGGCCGGCGGGGGAGGGGGGCGAGCCCCATCGCCTGCCTAAAGGTGCCGTGGCTGGGTTGTAAAATACATTCTCTGGTGTGTGTGGATGTGTGAGCATCCTACCCCCGCCTCCCCATCGGCTCCCACACGGCTCCGGGTCTCCCTCCCGGCCCCCCCCAGCCTCCCCCGGCACTCCGACGCCGGTGTAGAAAGCAGTGTCCAGGCGCCGGGGGACTCGCCGCGCTGGGCAGGGCCGGGGCGAGGGCCGGTCGGTCTCGGTCCTACCTGGCGGGGGGCAGGAGCGGGCGTCGCCGGGGCCGGATCAGCAGCGGCGGGGCATCGCGGCGGGGCGGGCGGCGGAGCCCCGGTGCGCTGCCGAGGCGCGGCGGCGGGCGGGAAGGAGAGAGGGAGGGAGGGAGGGAGGGAGAAGGGAGGAAGGAAGGGAGGGAGGGATGGAGGGATGGATGGAGGGAGCGCGCGCACACACACGCACACACACACAAACGCGCGCAGCGCCCCGGGGATGCGCTCAGCCGGCCCGCCCCGCAGGCAGCCTCCACTCCCTCCGCATCCCTCCGCCGCGATGCGCGGGCAGGGAAAGACCTCCCTCCTCCGCGGTAGCAGCTTCAGCCCTCCTCCTCGTCCCCCTGCTGCTGGAAATATTTCCCGATTTCCTCCTCGGATCGAGGGACTTTGAAAGGCAGGGCTGGCTGCGGACCCACCCCCAGCAGCCCTACCCTCCCTGCTTGGGGCAGTTCCCCAGCCCTGCCCTGCCTGCCCCCAGCCCTGCCCCTCCTGACCGGGACAGTTCTCATCCATGCCCTGCCTGACTCCAACCCAGCCCACCCTGACCGGTCAGGTCCTGCCTGCTGTGGCTCGTCGCATCTCCCCGGCCGCCCTGCAACCTGCCAGGGCAATCCTGAACCCATTTTCACTCTGCAGGAAGGAGCGAACCCTGGGAGAGATGGCGACAAGAGAAACACGTGTGTGTGTGTGCAAGGAGTGCGTTGCTGTGCCTGTCCCCGTGCCCCACAATGTTGCCCATGGTCCCTGTGGGGAGGCAGGAGGCCAGGGGACCTGGATTGGGACTCACTTCCCTATCACATCCTCAGAGTTGAGGTGTTTGCAGAGGACAGTGGGGGACATGGGGTGATAGGCAAGGAGCATGTGGGTCAGCTAGGACCTTCCTGGGAACTGCCCAAACATCTGGCAGTTTAGTCAGCCTTTAAACCCACAGACCCTCCTGTCCCCACAGAAGGGTCACCAGCATTGGGGAGGTCCTGCAGGAAGGCAGCAGCCTGGCAGAGAAGGACTTGCTGCACCTCAGGCTGGCCCAAGTGTCCTTCCTGTGGGCAATTCCCCTTTCACCATGCCTGAATGACTCCTCCACCCTTCGCTGGCTCCAGCAAGGAGCAGATGAACCCGTTGTCCCGCCCTCCAGGAAAAACTCTCTAACTTTAGGAATTTAAAATAGGACCAGAGCTAATAACTCACACACTGGTCGTTGCAAGTACCCAGTGACCTTGACTAGCCCTCTACGCCCAGATCCTCAGGTGCAACAAGAACTGTGGAAAATCAAGACATTATTTTAGCTCCTGTAGCCTCTTAGACCTTTTCCCTCTTATCTTGTTAGCTGTGCCTGTGATTTTTGTCACCACTGGTGAGACAGAAACCCAGAATTTTATCTTTGGATTTTATCTGTGCTTTTCTTCTTTACTTTCAAAAAAAACTTATTAAGATTTTTCATCACCATGTCCTTCAGCAGAGATGGAAAACTAAATTTCTCTTTTCAAGATGAGATGTAAGGTGTGGACAACGACACAAAACTCCTTTGTAAAGCACTTTGTGATGAACTGACCAACCAACAAAACAGCTACTTAATGTTCCAGCTGTTATTGATATTTTTTACTTCTGGTCTTACTTTAAGAGCTTATTGCCTACATATGGAATGAAAGGCATTTCCATATAAGAATTTGGTTTAGAAAAAGCCCATGATTTTGTGTCCAGTAGCTAACTCTGATTTTCTGTCTCACCTTTTTTGATTTAAAACTCTTCAGAGGAGGGATAAGGTTGCATCTGTCCGTGTGGGGTACTTTGATGGTACTCAATTCTCCCAGCAGGGCCATTGATATAAAATGAGCACAGCTAAATGTGTACAGCACGCAGAGTGCTGTGCTCGGATCAGGAATTGAGCAGAGCAGTGGATGTGTATCAGTGGCATTTGGTTCTGGCAGTGGCTGCAGGATGCAAGGTGCTGCACAAGCTGGCATGGCAAAAGGATAGTGTGAGCAGAAAAAAAATTGGCATGGTTGCAGCGAACACAATCCCTGCTGTTGCTTTTCACCCTGCATACTGAAATCTAATCACTGCAACAGCAAGCAGTGGAACTCAGATTTTAGTCATGAAGTTCTCCCTAAAGCTTCCCATTTCCCTCAGTGATGTTGCTGACCTACTTCCAGCTCTTTCAGTGAATATAGTATCCAACTCTTCTGGATCACCAAGACTAAACTTTGCTAACGGGGATCCACTGGTAAGCTGCCCTCTGAAGAGCCAGGCACATTCTCAGTTCCTCCCAGCTCACCTCTCTCTCCAGCTTCCAGTGAGTGTTCCTGTCTCCCAGTGCCTCCTGCTGAGATCCTCAGTAAGGCTGCTTCAGCTGCGGGATTTTTGTGCCATTTGAGGGGAGCTGAAGAAAACAAGAGTTTGTCAGTGTTTGTGGTGATGCCCATTAAGTCCATGCAAATGAACCCTTTGTATCATCCAGCCTTAGTGGTGCTGGGACAGAAAACATGAAGCATTATTATCCCACCTGAACATAAGAGCAGATTTCATCTGCTTGAAAAGTGACTGATTAGGAGGAATATGAAACAGGGAGCCTGGGATAAGATGTGCCCCACTTCCCAGTCCTTCACACATCCCTTTCCAGGAAATTCAGACCTTTGTTTTTTACAGTCTCCAACAGAAAGGTGGAGTTAGACTCTGAAAGAAAAGAGTGGAAGTCAGGGAGTGAGTAGGAGAGACAGTGACTCCAATTGCTGAAAGGAGATACTGTGTTACAGGACTGCTCCAAACTGCAGTGTCCATGGTTCATACTACTTTTTCTCAGCCAAGCCTGCTGAAGTAGCTGTAACAGAATAGAGCTCTGCATGGGCTGTGAAATCTGCTGGGCAAGCTGAGCAAATGCTCCCGTGGTCTCCCTGATGCTCTAGGCAAAAATGCAATAAGACTCCTCATGTCCTGACACAGCAAGTTTGTTACAGTGTGGGCACATCTATGCTTCAACATGATTACAGATTGGGCTGTGCTGGGAGAGGTAGCAGTTTCCTCCAGCTACCTTTACTTCCCCGTCTCTCTTTGCAGTCATGGAAGTGAACACCTACCATTGCAAACATGCTTACAACCACTAATTAGTCGTCTCAAAATCATGGAGATTCTCATGCCAATACTAGCGAATGGTTCATTCATTCATTCATTCACTCACTCATTCATGCACACCCACAGCTCTCTCCGACAGCAGCCTGCATCTCTCTGCAGTTGCTGGAGGAGGTTTCTGGGTATTGTCTACATATGTAGAGCAGAAAGACTATTTGTCCCTGGAAAGAATGGGGTTAGTGGACTGTGGAATCTCGAGCACAGGACAGAATGGTGCAGGCCAATTCTCTGCTAGATGCCTTGCAAAAAAAAAGATATCTGAGCTGCTGCACAGTTTAGAGGTGGGGGACACAAAATGTCAAGTACTTCTTTGCTCGAAAAATTTCTGCCTTATGTTCCCTGTAAAAGAGACAAGAGGTCAGGGCAAGGTTAGTCTTCAGTTCAGCCAGAGCATGATCACCTCCAAGCAGCTGTCCTACTGCCCTTTCTTGGCCCTGTTTGGAACATACCCTCAGTGCAGTGCTATGGTTTCTGCTCCAGCTTTTGGGTTCAGATAATGCTGGAGGATAACCAGTAAGTCCTCACTGGCTAGTTATCTCTGTTCGTGGTTTTCCTTGAGTCCCTCAGAAGATGCCAGAGAGGTCCTGCAGAAGCAGATGGGTTGTCACCTCTGGCTTGCCATTCATCTATCTTTGCTCCTCAGTGCAGCAGACTTGAGCATGCGCTCACTGAACGTTCTCTGGCTCTCCTATGCATGTTCTTGGCAGAGACCTGGAGAATCCTGGAGAGTGGTGTTTCTAAAAAAGATGCTCAGAAATATAGTTTCCAGTGATTTGAGCACTCGCTGTCACTGACACCTTTAAACCTGCCTTTGCTGTTAGGAGGATACATCGGGCATTTAGAAATGTGGCAAATGGAGTGGGACACGGTAGTGAGTAGGAAGGGCAATTTTATGTGCTGGACATCATATGCTTCTTTTTGAGCTTTCCAGATAGTGCCTCCTTAACTGTTTCCAAGTACCTGGTCTGAGTCCTGATGATCCCAGGGAGGTCTGATTGCATGACAGTTGTCCATCAGCTGGCCAGGGGGCTTGGATGTGAAAGGTATCTTCTCCCCTGGAAAACCGAGAGTATAGATTGTATCCCAGGGAGAAGGCAGTGCTCAATGGAATGTTTTGGCACACCTGTGAAAAATCAAGAGCTTATGGTTTGCTGTCACTCCAACGCTTTGAGACCCTTCAGAGATAACTGGAGAAACCATGCTTGTGGTGCTTCTGAGCTTTCACCTGAATACTTGCTCTATGCTGTGTTTTGTGCAGGTTTAAACAATAAATCCAGTGCACTAATTCATGAGCATAGCATTTAGCAGCTTGGGAGAGAATTTTCCTGGAAGAAGCAGTGACTGGCCAAATTTTGCAGAGCACTGCTTATATGTGGCAGACACAAAAGAGTTTTTGCACTGGAAACCACCTGCTGCATGGGGGTTGAATGAAGTAGTTAGAGGAGCTGGATGTGAACTTAGGGAACTTGGAAATGGGGAGAGTTGCATGTATTTTGCAAACATCTAGTCTGCAAAACAAGCCACACATTCTTCTCTTCAAATTCTTCTTCAGAATTTTTTCTTTTTGAGAAAACTGCTTTCTGATCACCAGACATATACAAAAAAATTCAATACGTGCACAGAATGACTTCAGCACCTGAGCCTATTGTAAGAGATGTACAAGGTGCAAACTGTCTCCCTACTCTTCTCAAAGTGGTAGAGACAAAAAAGCCTTCTGGCAGCTGTCATTTGTCTCAAGAGCAGTGCATGCTAATACAAGCATCTCACTCCTACTTCTCAGGCAAAAAACAGCTCCTAGCTGGTGTCACTGAAAAATGAAGTCCCCTGCTGAACTGCCTGGCCCTTAGCATCTTTGCCCACCAAAACCACGACACCAATGAGGCTTTGTTTTGCTGTTACAAAACTGCAT